CTCAGCCGGGGGTCCTGGGCGTGTGGCTCGGCCCTGCCCCTGTTTGGGGCTGATGCTTTTTTCTAGCTGTTTGTTCTTACCGTCCATCAGACCTGGCAGACGAGGAGGGTGGGTGAGCCCAGAACAAGGCCTCCTTGGCTGCAGAGAGGCCTGCATTCCCTGCCACTGGCTCTTGTTTTAGTTGTTTATCTTTTTAACTGATTGGAGGATTGAAATCTCCACCCCCCCACCCCAAACCAAAGCCTTTTCGGGCCTCGCCCAGCAGAAGTGGGTTGGGGGTGGCTTGGGGCGATTTTCCTTGTCAGGTATCTACGTGTGGGCAGTTAGGTTCACTCTTGGGGCAAATAAGTCTAAGCAGTGCCTGGCCCTGCGTGAACAGTGCCTATTCTTTGTGCCAAGTCAACGGGATACGTGGTTTTTTTTTCCTTTTTAGCATAAATCTTGGGACACAATCTGTGTAATTTATTTTGGTTTTTAATGAAGAAGACAAGGTGTTTCAGCAGAATTCCCAGCCTGCAGACGCGCTGTTTCAGGTGCTGGGAGAAGCGTCCGGCACGTGCCGGGCGATGGGCACTTCCTGTGCCTTTGTGGCCGTCTGCCTCAGAAGGCCTTGATGGAAAAAGTCTCCTCAGCCTGAAAGATGATAATTACATCTGCCTGATCACTCATTCCATGTCCCCTCTAATTTCCAGTGAAATGGAAATTTCAAATCCAGAATCACTGCTAACCGAGTTACCTTTATCAGTGACAGAGCATCTGCTCACACTTGCTTATAAGAATCTTTCCAGCACATACGTTCGCGCCCCGATGTATATAAATGGAAAGTAATGGCTGGAGTTGAGGCGTCCATTTTTCAACACGTTCAGGGCAGGAGGCGGCCTCTCCAGAAGTTAACTGTGTGCGTTAGGAGGTGGGCGGGGGCAGTGGCCATATCGCTCTTCATTGTGGCTTCCAGAGAAGCCAGGCGATCGGTGAGAAACGGCCACCTCCACGTGACCAAGGAGCGCCTCCCGCGGTCCTGGGATGGCTGTTCCTGTTGGCTGGGGTGGCCTGGTTGTGGGTCGGAGCCTGGCGGACAAGGCTCGCATCCCCACCACGTGGGCCCGGGGCTGCCTGCTTCGCTGCTGTCGGGAGCTCGGGCCTGCGTCGGGCAGAAGAGAAGCCCAGGCCCTCAGGACGCTCAGAGTCGGTAACTCTGGTGAAATAGACAACTCGGAGGCTCAAAGTTGCGTTTTCTTTCTGTCTCTCCTGCATGTTGCTGAGCTCGTGGAGGGCAGGACACCGGCCACGTCTCCTCTGTAGCTTCACTGTCACAGGCGGTGGGGTACATGGAGACGCCCGAGAGCTTCCTGGAAAGAGCTGATGAATGAGCAGCCTCTGCCCGTGTCCTCGTGGGGTTGACGCTGTGGCCCTTGCTCTGCAGAGGCCCCGGCTGTGCCAAGGGTGCTGGTACCCGGAGATACCGGGCGGGTCTGTGGGCCCATCTGGCATCGTGGGGTCATTTCAGGACACGGAGAGGGACAGTCCTGAGTCTGCCGCTGCCGCGTGCACCCCCGGATGGGCCACCTCACCTGCCTCTCGCGTGGGCACAGGTCCCGTGGGCGAGAACTGGCCAGTGGGCCGTTGGTCCTCGCGCTCCGGCTGGGATGAACTCCTCTGGCCGAGCCTGAGACGGGGTGGCGTCTGCCAAAGCCTCGTGGGGCGGGCCTCAGGTGGGACTGCCGGAGGAGAGAAGGGGTTTATTTTTACTTGTTTGGTTAGGTTCCTTCAGTGACAGATGTTCCGGAAGTATGTGTTTAATTTTGCAAATCAATTTGCTCGCCACTTCACATTAGAAAGGTGTCGTGTGCCTCCCGGGCACTTATTAGAGTTGCTTGTTTTCCCTGCTTGTAAACGGTGACCTTCTGCGTCAGCCGAGGAGGCCAGTGGCACTGCAGGCGCAGGGACGTGGCTGCGGGACTGCGGGCGGCTCATTCCACGCCACCGCCCTGCCCCCGCCTCCGAGCGCATCCGGCCCCGGCCGTCACTCCACTCGACCCGCGAATGTGCCGGGCACACGCCACATGCCGGGCCTGGCTCTGTGCCAATCCCTGGGTCCAGATAAGGTCCCGCCCCACGGGCACCGCGGTCCAGGGACACCCAGGGCTCCACAACCCATGAAAAGCCACCTGAATCTGCGAAGGTGAACTCGGAGTCGCCCCGCCTTCCCGATTATCAACACCCGGCGAGTGCCTGGTGTGGGGTGGCGTCGGCGCCCCGTGTGGGCCTGGGCAGGAGGCGCCTGGCCCTGCCGGCCTGCCGCCCGCTGCTCTGTCCTCGGCCCATGCGTCCCGGAGAGTTTCAGTGGCTAGTGAGTGGCGGGTGCTGGAGCCCCTGATCGTCCAGGCCTGTCCTGGGGGCGGCCCCTACCGGGTCCCCCTCCTTCGGGCGCTCTGTATTCAGGAGGCGGTTTTCTCTTTGGAGCTGTCACCGTCCTTCCGCCCGCTCTGCCCCCACTGCTGACTGCACTCGTGGAAGCTCACTCCCCTGTTTCTGTGTAAAAGATCTTTGTTCAGTAAATTGATTCATTTTCTGAACTGCCGGTTTTCAGGTGTTGACGGTATTTGCGTTTCCCGTTGGCCAGCGTGCTCGCGTCGGTGCCCCGGCCTCGGCTGCCACCCTTGGGGAACGGGCATGGGGGGCCACTCAGGGCCCCACGGAACTTTCCGGCTTTGTAGCTGCTGCTGTTTTCAGCTTAGAAGTAGATCTTAATTCTTTGAAAAGAACAGGACGTCCCATCGCGTTGCTGGAAAGCTCCGTAGTATCTCGTCGTGGAGAAATGGGGGGGGTGACTGAGAAATGGGCGGTTTATTCACATGTTCAGTTACCCATTTTATAACTTCATTCATTCATTCATTCATTCACCCGTCGTCTGGCTCACGCTTACTGGGCACCTAGTGTGTCCCGGGGCTGCAGGTGCGGAGGGGTCTCAGGCACCACACCTGCTGTGGAGCAGCTCACATCCTGGGGCGGGCACGGCCCTAAGCAGCGAAGCCCGGGCAGTGTGACACGGGGTCCAGGGAGGAGGCTGTGGAACCAGGAGGAAGGAGGCTGGCGCGGGGGGAGGGACTGGGGCAGTGCCAGGGTGGGGCCTCGCCGGGCACACGGTGTCACCTGAGCAGGCGCAGTGCTGGGGGGCCAGGGACCGAGAAGGGCGGTTCTGGCCCAGCTGGTCCTTCTTTGTCTGCCAGCTGGTGTCTCTCAAACTGTGGGCCACGTACGGGGCCCTCACAACGTCTTGAGAGGAATTCCCTCGTATTAGGCGGCCCCCTGAGCTTACAAGCTGGGGACACGGGGAGGACACTTCCCCTTGCAGACCCCAGGGCTCTCCTCGGTGACAAGCCGTGTGGCTCGTTTCTGCCGGGGCTGCCGCTGTGGAGGCTCTGTGCTGTGGCTCTGCTCCCACTTCATCCTCCACTGGAGCAGCAGGGGACCGTTTTGGGTCGTGAGGTGAAGTTAACAAGTAAGTGTATTTAACACAACATAAGCTGATTAGAAGCTGTAGAGCGGACCACAGAGCCAGCCCTGCCCTGCGTGGGGAGCTCCTCCTGGGACGCGGACCCTACGTCAGAGGCTGGAGCCCCGTCTTCCTCTGTCTCTGGGGGCCCGGGTGCCGAGTCCTTGTGTAACTTGTCCCTGAGAGGGCTCCCAGCACAGGTGTGTGGCTGACATAAGAATCTTCTGGAGACACAGAAACTCAGATCCCGCCGGGAAGATTCTGATCCAGAAAGTCGAGATGCACCGAGAAAGCTGTGTTTTAATAGCCGCTGAGATGAGGATGACGTCTGGGAAGCCCTGAGGTCACTGTCGGCCCACACTGCAGCCTTCTGAGCTGGCCTCGCGCTTCCCTGATCCCCTGGCTGTCGCTTGTTTGTTTGCCGCTTCTAGAACTTTCGTTGGGAGAACTGAAGGAGCTGTACACTTTTTTCAGGGTTGCCTCTCAGGGCAGGCGGGGAGCGGGGGGTAAGACCACAGGAGGAGCCAGTGACCCCAGGCATGTGCAGACACGGGGTCGTGGGCCACACTCGTGGGTCCTGGTGGACGGAAGTCAGGGTGGGCACGTCCCAGTCCCCAGTCTGGATAATTAGGCCATACTTGCCTGTTTTATAAGGCAGCACCCGCCCTCCCCTGGCCTTTAGAGTGGCTCTTCCCAGGGAAGAATGTTGGGAAAATGCGGCACAGTCACCATGACCCCCAGAGTCTCTGCTTCCTTGGAGGGGCACTTCCAGGGTCCCAGGACCTCGGAGCTCCAGTGAGCTCTGAAGCCTTTCCCGCGGGTTGTTGAGAGCCCAGCAGAGAGGCCTGGGCAGGGAACGCTGGGGGCTCGAGCCGTGGAGCGCCGTGACGGGGAGAGACTCTGTGGCCGGTGGGAGATGGCGCTTCGGGCCTGGTTCTCCCCAGGGGCCCTGCTGTCTTCACAGAAGCCCCAAACCTGGGATCCAGGGGTGGGCCCGCCTGCCCCCTCACTGGCCGGGCCCGAGAGCCCGTGGGGCCCGGGAGCCCGTGGGACCCGGGCCGGCACGTGGTCGAAGCCATCCCCTCTCTCAGGACTGCAGCCCGTATCTGGTGGACCTGCCTGTGGGCTAGACGGGTGAAGGTCAGCTGAGCCCCGCCGCGTGCCCCCGAGCGTCCGCCGGCCTCTCGGACCAGTGCCGCCGTCTGTAGGGCAGGACTGGGCCTGCCCGTGTTCCTGGGCTGGGGCTCGGGGCATCCCAGACGGGGCGCACAGTCCGCCCGCAGGAGCTGTCGTGGTCCTAGTTACCGTTACTGCCGTCACCACCCATATTCCTTGAGGAAGAGAGTCTGAGGTCTTGGGGTGGAAGTTCCTTTTCCGTCCGTGCTCCTTGGGGGCGGTGCCTCGGCTGGTTGGAGGGGTTCCGAGGTGAGCCCGGGGCCTCAGGGAAGGGGCAGTCCTCCGGGGGCTCTGCTGACAGCCGCGGGGCCTGTGTTTGTCCCTGCAGGGCAAGTCCACCGGCACCTGGACCAGCACGAGGTGAGGTACCTGCAGTTCGCCTTCCGCTGGATGAACAACCTGCTGATGCGCGAGGTGCCCCTGCGCTGCACCATCCGCCTGTGGGACACCTACCAGGTGAGCGCCCCTCGGCCCCTCCCCCCCGCCGCCTTCTGCTCTGGGTCCGTTTGCCGTGCTCGATTTCGCCTTCGAAGCATCCTCTCCACTGAAATGCCGTCTTTTTAAAGTCCACTTCAGGTGTCCTTGTCATCTGACTAGATGTAAGACAGGGAAAAGAACTTTCTGTAGTTTTACCTGTAGCTGGATTTCATCCCGCTGTGCAGTTTGCACTTTGGCCGGGGCTCCGGGGCAGGTGTAACTCCAGCGAGACTCTGAGCTGCATGTACCGGACACACTCACGCTCAGGACTCACACCTTGTCTGTGTTTTGAGTCACTCATGATAAAGATTTTAAAAATTCCATGACAGATTCAGTGTGCTGTGAAGTTTCCTCCTCTCCACAGCATTTTCTGGAACAAACCACCTTTGTTCCCTTGTCACGTTGCTTTATTCTAACGCCTCTCCAGTTTCTTGGAGATGTTTGCTGAGGCTGAGGCCGTGCCAGGGGTTCCACGCTGGCCTTTCCTCATCCCTCGCGGTGAGCAGGCACCTCGTGTGTACTTGGAGTGGCGTCTCCTCAGAGGCTGGCTTTCATTCTTAACTCGGGGAGGCAAGGTTTTCCTGCACTGGGCGCCAGCCCTTTGTGGGCCTTGGACGGGGCAGCTGCCTTTGGAGGCTGGGAGAGGGAGCCCCAGGCCACGGGCTTCTTTGCGGGGCAGCAGGAGCCCCAGGTACAGGGTTGGGCTCCCGTGCGTGGATGTCCACGAAGACGGTGGTGGGGTCCTGAGGCCCCGAGCAGGCTGGAAGGGCCTCGCCCCCCGGCCTCCTCGTCAGTGGAGCCCTTGGTCTATATGGCGCGATCGTCCCGTGGGATGGGGACCTCGAGCTGCTGCCCTGCTGGCCCCCGTGCCCGCCAGCCTTGAGTTCTGAGCACATTTCTCCCAGGTCATCGAGAACAGTAGCCCAGAGCTTTGTTCCTCACGCCGGCCCGTGTGCCCGGCGTGGCGTCTGTGGCTGTTTTTGTGGCTCTGAAGCCCTGTGTTGTGACTTTGCTTTTCCTTTGAGCAGCTGTGTGTTCTAATGGTGTTGGCTACAGAAATTATGACTGGTCAGTAGCCGCATCCGAATCCCCCACTTTGGTTTTGCTTTCGTAGGTACTTGACAGCTACAGAATTTCTAGCCACTCACATTTCCTGGGATGTAAAGCCGTTTTTGGGGGGCTGTTTGGTTAAAGTGGCCATTGGCCTGGTGCAATCGATCAGGTCTCAGTTATGTCGCAGGAAACAAAACTTCGTATCCCGTACATTTTGAACGCTCTCCACTGGTGATGGGTTACACTGAGGTCCTGACCCCCCTCATTAAACACAGAGTCCCCTGTAATACTGTCCCCATTATGAATAAATTAGGTATTAAGTCAGTCGCATTTTGAGGAGCAGAAAATGGCTCTGCGCGTCTGTGGTCCTGTACCACTTCACTAAAACTCCTAATGGATATTAAAACTTTAAGCACAATTGTGGCATCGTTATTGAGTTAATTTTCTTGAAATTAAATTTTGTCATGAATTGACTCATTTGTACCATGGACTGATTGTTGAACTGACAGTACCCTCGTCATAAACCTTTTCATATCTTAAAAATTGGGGGTATTTCTATTTTACAGGCCCAAGTAACCATGAAATTGTATTGCATCTTTTGGCAATGAAAATGCATAGTAATCGTAGGATGGCAATCGGGTGATTACTCTCCCTTAAACTAGGGTGTTTATTAGCTGGGCCATTACAGGTTTCAGTAACTCTTTAATCCCTTACAAGCAAGGTAGCTTAAAATCCTCTTGGGACATGTGTCAACAAAAGGCTATCCATAATGTGCCCCAGGCCGTGGACTAGATGATGGCACAAAAATGAATGAGGGGCATTAGCTACAAGGAGGAAAAAAGGCAATTAAAAAGTGCAGATCATCCGGAAGTAGCCGAAGAGCAGGGAGGTGAACCCTGCCCCCTGGGTGCGTGACGTGCCCCATGCGAGCAGCGCGCGGGGTGCGGGCCGCCGTGCAGGCTGCTGTGGCTGAGCAGCCGGTCCAGCTCCCAGAGGGAGCCGGTACAAAGGGTGCGTCCCACCCGCCATAGCTGGAGCCGACACGTGGATTTTGAGGACCTCAAATGAGAGAGAAAACTCTGGGCCCCTGTGCTGTGCTGTGGGTCCACGGCCGCAGGGCTGAGGCCGTCGGGGCAGCTGGGATGCGCTCCGTCCTGCCCGTGTCCTCCCGGCCCTCGCTTCCCCTCTTGTGGGCTCCCCTCCACGCCCCCACTCCGTGCGGAGGAGGCGTGGGCTCCCTCCCTAGTGAGCGAGGGCCCCACGGGGCTGACGGGAGGGCACGCGGGTGTTTCCAGGCCACACCTGCCGCCTCCTGCTGCCACCTGGACAGTGAAGCCAAGCCCGGCCCTCTGGGTCCGGCCCCAAGGGCCTAGGGGGCCAGTCCCGGGCTGCGGAGGGCTGGGGCAGCAGGCCGGAAAGCAGCTTGGCTGCGCGTTTTGGGGGCTTGGGCTCCAGGGCACCCGGCCTGCTGGCGGGCACCGAGCGGCGCTTCAGCTCTCGCCCCTCCGCACTCAGAGCTGCTCTGCACCCCGAGGCCTGCGTTCCAGCCTCAGCGGGCCTCCCTTGGGGTCTTTGGTTTCACGCACCTTCTCTGGAATTGCTTTCCTGTGGAAAAACAGCCACAGATGCGGCTTCTATTTTATTGTAATGTGGGTGGGCCCCGGACGGTGGCCGTGGCTCGGGGCTCGTCGGCCTCTGCGTCCCTGTGAAGCCCAGGGCTGCTCCTCGGGCGTCTCCCGGCAGCGGCCGGAGTCCTGGGGAGCGTGTGCGTCCCTCCCGGTGCCCTGGGCGCAGAGGTGGGTCCTAGCTGCGCTCCCTCCCCGCGTCCCTGGCTGCACTTTATGTCTGGAGGCCTAGTGGGCACAGGCGACTGACCACAGGGACCGCAACCCCCGACTCCCGGGCTAGCTCCTCCCCTGGCAGTTCCTGGGACAAAAGCCGCCCTTCTGTCTGAGCTGCTTGACCTCCTCCCAGACCATGGGAGTAGGTGTGCCTGTGCGCAGTTGAGGAGGGTCCCTGGCCCCCCAGTTGCTCACTCTCTGGGGTATGCACCGGGACTGCAGTCCCACCACGCGGGCGAGGACCGCGTGAGCTTCTCCCGGTGTCGGTGGTGTGGCAACCCCCCCCCCCCCCTGTGAAAGGGGGACTCCCCCCCCCCCCCAGGGGACCTGCCTGGGAGGAGACAACCAGAGGGGTCGGCACCTGCTGATTTCCTGAAAGATGGGCGATCGAAGTGCGTTTCCTGGTTTGTATTTCTTTTTTCCTAAATGGCATTAGAATGTCGGCCAGCTCAAGGTTGTTTTAGCTGTTCGGGGTCTTTTGTGGTTCCATACAAATTTTAGGTTTGTTTTTCTATATCTGAAAAATGCCATTGGAATTTTGATAGGGAATGCCTTGAGTCACTTTGGGTAATATGGACGTTTTCACAGTACTAATTCTTTCAATCCACAAATGAGGAGTGTCTTTCCATTTATTTATGTCTTCTTCAATTTCATTCATCAGTGTTTTTTAGTTTTCAGTGAACAGATTTTTCACTTTCTTGGTTAAATTTATTCCGAAGCGCTTTGTTTTTCATGCAGTTGTGAATGGGATGGTTTTCTTAATTTCTCTCTCCAACAGTTCATTGTTTGTGTATAGAAATGCAACTGAGTTCTGTATGTTGATGTTTTTTTTATCCTGCAACTTTACGGAACTTGTCTAAAGGCAATGAAATTATCTCACAGAGGTATCTGCACCCTCATGTTCATGGCAGCCGAGATATGGAACGACCCAAGTGTCCATCGATGGATGAAAAGATAAAGAAATTGTGTCTGTATACATGTATGTGTGTCTATATATACGTGCGCGCGCACACACACACACACACACACACACACACACACACACACACACACACACTGGAACGTTACTCCGCCTTTGAAAGGAAGGCCCTCGTGGGCGTGGCTGACGTGGCTTAGGGAAGGTCAGGGGAAGAGGCCGGGCAGCCGGAGGAGGGCATCCCCGGGCAGGAGAGGACGCACCAGAGTGCGAGCCAGGGAGAGAGGCCCCAGGGCAGCAGAAGGCTCTAGGATGACGGGACCACCCAGAGGGGAGCCTCTAGGCACACGTGGGTTTTCCACACTCGAAAAATATGACCAGGGTGATGGAGGAACTGAATTTCTAGTTTTCATTTCGGTTCACTGAGATTTATATTGAACAGGCCCACCCAGAGTAGCTGCATGCAGCACTGCTCTGTCAGGGACTGGTGGAGTCAGCGGGTCAGGACCATGGGCATCGGGCAGCAGTGGGCAGGCCAGGACCCGTGGGTATCGGGCAGCAGCCGGCAGGTGCAGGACCCGTGGGCATTGGACAGCAGCGGGCAGGTCAGGACCCGTGGGTATCGGGCAGCAGCCGGCAGGTGCAGGACCCGTGGGCATCGGGCAGCAGCGAGCAGGTCAGGATCTGTGGGCATCGGGCAGCAGCGGGCAGGTGCAGGTCCGGCGGGGCAGTGACTCGAGCCAGCCCTGGGGAGAATGTGAGGAAATGGACTTGGCTGGAGCCCCTTGTCCTCCCAGAGGTGCACCTGGGCAGGGAGGGGGCCGCGGTGGGGAACCCCGGGCATTCCCAAGCTGACGGGCTTGTCGGTAGAACCGAAGAGGTGGGCGCGCCAGGTGGTGGACAGCTCTGCCCCTGTCCCTCCTTCCCCAGCGCCCCGAGGCTGATTCAGAAGGGTGTGCTCCGCTGGGACTTGTCTTGGAGTGAAAAAGAACGTCAGCAGCTTTCTGGAATGGAAATGTGAGAGCCAGGTTCTCAGAACGGTGCTATCTGTTCTCTACAATCTAGTAACTTCCTTCCTTCCCATTCCGGCTCTCACTGAGGTTTTCCCATCACTGGCTGATACTCGGGGCGTGAGCCCTGCTGGAGCCAGGGCCCCGGGCCAGGGGAGG